CCGCTAACAGGACCACAAGGCCACGAGTTGATGAAACCTTATTTGATGGTTCATAACTCCGAGGTTCCTAACCATCTGGTTCTACTTCTCGTAGCCGTTTGTGTAATGTCCCAGATTGCTTTCAGGATTACCGACTGATTCCATAAACCAAACCGGGTCTTTTCAGCATGTTTTGTCCTCACTCAGATACTTTCAGAGAAACTTTCTAAAAGGTCACCCATCCAAATACTACTCCAAGTCAAACATGCTTAACTATGGACTTCTTATTTGTTAGGCTACATAAAAGAATATGCATCTTGCTGGTAAGGCAATACCAATCAATCCTTATAAGCCTTCTATCAACCGTGTAGTCCCATACTTGCACAACCTCGGGATCCCTCTCATTCTGATGTACATTCATTTTTTTCCTAGAAGATGCAAGAAGTCGCTCATTGTCATTACTTATGCATCGACGACCATTCCCTGCCCTCATCGGCCTCAAGTGTTACAATTTTTCTCAGGCCTCTACTTCACAGGTCCACGGGTCCCCAAATGATGAAGTAGCACCTGAAGCACCTAAAGCCCCTGAAGCCCATGAGGAGTCCATTATTTATGCCCCTTTAGAGAGTTATCTAGGAGGCCCATATGACACCTCCTTACTTCATCTCTATGTAAACCATGCTACTAGACATGTTTGAGAAGGATATGTATATTTATTTACTTTTGCAATATATCTATTTTAAACTAATTAAATCGAGACTAATAATGATAATTTTTTTTTACAGGAGGGTCCATGTCTAAAATCGGTAAAACACGACGAAAGATATTAGAGTTGGTACAACCCGACGCTGATTGGTCTAATGATGTTATCCACTATTCTGGTCTTGCCAATTTTTGTGTTGCTGCGTACATGACCATAAATGATGACATGCAAATGAAATTTGCTGAGAGATGACATTCAAAGATATCATCTTTCCACCTTCCGATTGGCGAGATGACCATCACCCTGGATGACGACTTGTGCCTCCTACATCTTCCCATAAGGGGAAAATTACTGGGCCACAAAAGGCTCGGTCAAGAGGAAGCCACTAAGATAATGTTTACATATTTGGGGACTGATCCAACTAATGCGACATATGAGGTAGTTGATACCAGAGGTGCTCATGCTAGACTTACATTTTTGGAAGACTTCTATAAAGACCACGTGTGGTGTGTTGTGGATGTCGATGACGATGATATGCAGGTTGAGTACCATCATACTTATGCATTTATATGTTACCTCTTGTTCCTGGTTGGCACATCTATTTTATAGACAAAAGTGCAACCTACGTTGATGTGGTTTACCTTAAGTAATTCATCAACTTGACGACGAATCACGAGTAAAACTAGGGAGAATTGGCCGCGAGATGCCACATTTACCCAATGCAGAAGAATAATGTGATCGAGCCATTCATAATGTATCTTAACAGTCATGTACCAAATGACATTGCCTTCTGCCCATACGATAATCATAGCAAGACGCGCCAGTTGGACGTCATCTTCTTATACTCCGGATGAGTAGCATGTGGATAAACTCTGATGTATCCTTATCTTCCTGAGCGAGTGATGCACCCGTTTGACTATTTGTAGATTATTATGAAATCCCTATTTGACTTTGTTCATCTCACCGTCACTGCAGAGATCTTGATGCAATACTTAATAATTTCAAGAGTCATTTGGTATTAAAATAGTATCACAAATGTTGGTTTGAATATGGAGTAATTGTCTAGAAGGGGGTAGGGGGGGGGGGGGTGAATAGACAATTAAAAAATCCCCTCTTTTTAAAAAATAAGATTACGCAAGCAGAAACAAATATGGTGAAAATTTGTTTTCAAAAGTTGAAAGAGAATTTGTGCTATACTTACTCCAAAGGTTTTTAATAAGGTGGAATACAATGAATGATTAATGGTTAAAGTTTCAACGCGATGCTTAAAGACTTTAACAATTCTTCAATTTGAAAGACAATTTTAAATTCAATTCTTATACAATAATCAATTAACAGGACCCCTTAGAAGAACAAATCTAATTAAACCTAAACTTTTACATATCAAAACTATGAATATAATGAATCTTAACAGATACCCAATCATGTAATTTTAAACGATAAAGAGAGAGGAAGAAAAAGAGAGAATGCACCAGGATATATACTAGTTCGGTGCTACCGTCCTCGTAGGCACCTATATTTAGTCTTCGACGGAGAACCATCGAAGAGTTTTTTTGTTCCATTAAAACAATATTGAATTAGGTTTGTGTTACAACAATTCAGAAAAGAAAAAGATAAACTATAACAAGCCAATCTATCTTCGTCCTTGTTTCTTGTAAGAACTTGCTTGTAACTAGCTACCACCACTAACTTGATCTTTACCCAAGATCTTGATTTTCAACTTTTGATGGATTTCTATCTTGATAAATTTTCTAATCTTCACCCAATCTTGAAACTCTAAGCCTTGAATCCTTCTCTTCAACAAGTTGTTGACAAATCCACAGAAAAACTCCATAACAATGGAGAAAAGCTTATTCTTCTTTTTTCTTTAAGAAATTTCAACCCTTGAAATTTCCAAGATCAAAACACCTCTAACAAAAAATCTGTACACTTTAATGAACAGTTAGATCCCTAATGTTTCCTTACAATTAATTATCACACACACGCACACACACAAGAGAATGATTTCCATGAGTATGATTAAGATGAAGATTTGAGAGAGAGAAAGGAGTTGTGTTTGCAAAGGTTTTCCAACAGAAAAATTTTTGGTCTCTTGAAAAATGAGGAAATGAAACTTATATTTATAGGTGCAAAAGAATATGCAAAATTAATGAGTAAAAATGAACTACATGAATTGATTCAGGAATTTCCATGACTCAATTCAGTTAGGAAAGTTTACTTGAGTCGAATCCAAAATGAATCAATTCAAATTAGCATCCTGTATAAATTCGTGACCTTGACTGAATCAATTTAATTTGAAATTTCCAGATCTGTGACTCGATTCAAAACTGCTTCTGACTTAATTCGAGCAAATATAATCTAAATCAACTTTTGAGACACTTTCATGAATCGATTCATGAAAGCCTTGACTCGAGTCAGAAGACAAAAAAACTTTGAATCAAGTCAGGAACATTTATGAATCAATTCAAACAGCTAAGACACATAGCTAACTTCACAAATACATTGAAAACTTCTTTAGCATGTGTTTGATGATTAAGAAACAAGGGAACTCAAATAAAACAATAAACATAAGCAAAACATTAAAATAACGAAATAACCGATATCTTGATCAAGGACAATTTCAACAGAGTGCCAACTCATGTACATTGGGCTTATGCAGACAACTAGATGACACAATTCTATATGATATCACAACCTATCAAGACACCGGACGCTCTTGGAAGACCATCTAGACCAGCTAATCAAGAGGTACTTGAGGCTAGGGATGACCTCACCGAGGACGTGTCGACGGTCTATCGACATATTATGGATATGGGGAGATCATGCATAGTGGCAAAACTATTTGAGGAATACAATCCCTAGTTGACCCTTGTAGAAGACACGATTGACAAGGCACATAATACCTTGCAGTATAGGCGGAGGTGAAACTGAAGGGTTAGACAAACCCAATAGTTTATTTTTGATTATATTTTTTTCGAAACACGTTATGTATTTATTACACATTTTAATTTTTCTTTAATTAACACGTGGTTCTTTTAATGCATGTCTGAATCAATTATGTTCTAAAATCACCTAAAATATGAGTTGGTCTACAAATATTTAAATGTTGGGACAATGTTGATCTAAAAAAAAATAGAATTTATAAATTTAAGGGTTAAATATGTTTGTAGTTCTCTTAAATGTCTCAATTTCGTTTTTAGTTTCTCAAAATATTTCCTTCAAAAAATGATCCCCTAAAATATTTTATATACACTTTTGTTCCCTAATACTAGAATGGTCACTAAAATTGTCGCTAATACAGTCGTTAAGTAATAAATCTTCGCTAAAACCGTCACTAATTCTATCGTTAAGCTGTAAATTCTGTCGCTAAGTTGCAGGAGGGATAAAAATGTGGATGAAATTTTTTAAGAGGATGATAATTCTTTAAAAAAAATATTTTAAGAGATTAAAAATAAAATTTAAAATATTTAAGGAATCACAAACATATTTAACCTCAAACTTAAAAACAATATTAAAAATAATTTTGATAAATTATACTCTTTAATATTTATTAAAGTGATTCTAACAGTAACTTAACCCTAACAACATCTTTAGTGCAGATTCTTTAGTATTAAATTGTTTAATAGTGACGGTAGTTATAAATAATTTGCATTGAAATAAGAATGACATGATACTAAGTGAACTAACAATTAGTCTTCAACAACTATATAACTAACGAACACTATCAAATTTCAATGACTCTAATTATTATTTTATATTATTAAAATATAAAATATAAGATCAAATTTTGGTTTTTTACAAGCAACCATCGATAAAGTAAAAACAACTCAAATCAACTATAAATATTTTAAATCCTACAAATCACTTTACGTCCACCCATTTAATTTACTCTCATTGAAAATACTCTAACGACACGTGTTAAAAAAATAATAAAGAGAAAATTTGTTTGAAAGAGTAAATAAACAAATTAAATAAAGACTTTTAACCAAATCAAAACACAATTTTAAAACACAAAGTTTTTAAAGTTCAAATAAACTTTTTATTTATAGGTTTCAATGTGTTATTCAAACACAAGTTGACATTATCCTACTTATTATTATTATTATTATAGTTTTTTTTTAAATCAATTAAATAGTAAATGATTATTGAATAAATTCAAAGATAAATAGGATAATTATTGAATAAAGATCAAGAGGAAGTATTATTTTAATGAAGTTGTGTGAGAATGGTGCAAAATGCTATACCCAATAGAGATCCAGCGTAGATTGTTCGGAGACTGCAAGGCAGAAAACTCTTGGTCACCGTGTCAACCATCACAATGCTCAACTCCTTGAGTTTTCAAGCTTCAAACCACCCACCCATTTCTCTAACCTCCACCAATCCTTTCCCCATCAACAACACTCCCTCACAACAACAACCTAACCTCTCCTTCACAAAACCCGCAGCACTTCCCAAACTCATCTCTTCTTTTTCCTCCCACTCACCTCAACCTCAACCGCCACATTACATATCCACCGTTGGATCCTCATCGCTCAGCTCCTCCCAATGGAACCTCACCCAACGCCACCTCACTCTCCTCCAAACCTCCGCCGTCGTGGTACCTTACCCTTTCTCTCTATAATTCCAATTACGTTTTTCAATTTGTCGATTCCTCAATTGATTTTAGGTTTTTTTTTTGTTAACGTCTCAGACGGCGATATTTACAACGTGGCTTTTTGGTTCTGCAATTCCCACGCTTCTGGTTTGTGTTTCTGTAATGCCTTGTTTGGTAGTAAATAATAGTTTCTGAAATAGCTTCATTTAGAATCTGATATGATGAGAATGTTTAATAATAATAAAGGCTTTCAAGAAAGCAGCGGAATCACTTGAGAAGGCTATGGACACAGCAAGAGAGGAACTTCCTGATACCATGGCTGCAGTTAAATTATCAGCCATGGAAATCAGCGACTTAACCACCGAACTCAGTGATTTTGGGTAATTGCTTTTTTTTTTTTACCTTCTAAATGTAAATGACATTAAAGTTAAAATTAGAATAACGAAACATTGGTTGGTTTTTGTTTCTGTGATGATGCAGACAAGAGATTACCCAAGGTGTTAGAAGCTCCACTCGCGTGGTTCGCTCGGTGGAGCAGGGGATTCGCGGTTTAACCTCTATGCCTTCTTCTTCAGGTTACTTGCTAAATCAACATAATAACTAGACAACATTGACAGACATATATCAGACATCTGACACACTTTACCGGAAAATTTGAGTCTTAACTAGTTGTTAGATTTCTATAATTAGATTTCTATAATTTGAGTTTGTAGATGAATTGTAAACTGATATATTGTAGCAGCAATTGCTGGTAATTTAAAACTATGCCTTTAAAGCAATGCTGTTCATTTGGTTATATACAGCTTCTTCGCAGGGAATGAAATACAGCCCCTATACTGAGCCTGATTCAGATGCACTTGCGGCGGGAAGAACCGCAAGAGGCATGAAAGAGGGTATTATTAAGGGTCGTTCTATATTGAAGATATGTTTCTCGCTTGTCAAATTTTCAAGTTTTGCTCTCAACTTCATCACCAGACGTGGAAAAAGGTAGAGACAGAAGCAGAGAAGTTGCTTGATTTCTTCAGTGGGAGCCTTGAGCAGCACCAAGGTTCTCTTCTCTATTGTTATATGAGCTTCTGTTTTTTTTTACATGGATGTTTTGGTTGTGTACTTTTGACATTTTTCTCTTGTTACATATTGCAATAGAGATATTTCCCTCCCTTTGATTGAGGGCTTGAGGTTATAGGGTAGTATTATCAATAATGTGTATAGAAACCTAATAGGAAGAACAGATTGAGTGCATTTTGTACTCTACATAAACCTTAATACTAGGATTTAATGTTTCAAACTCTTGCGAAATTCACTTGCAAACCTGTTTATTCCTTTAGGTAAAGCCAGATACGGGTTGTACTGATTAGATTCTTTTTTCACATTGTTCTAATGATCTATTCCACCTGTCTATGAAAAGCTAACGAATTCGACGCCATAACATGTCACTGAATGACCGATCATAAAACCATCTTGCGGGACTACTTATGAATGAGATAGGTATAGGCAGTACAATTACGTGGAAGCTACTTAAAAAGACAACCTATCTACAAAATCAAAACATTAGATAAGGTTTAACACCTTTGTGTCTGTCCTAAAGAACATGACAATTTACACAGTAGTACAGTTACATAAGCCTCAAATGATGTCTCAACCCTCAAACCCTGACCGTGCTCCACCTAACAATGAAGTCTCTGATTTTATTCTCCATATTCAGTGCTACTGAAGTTACCTACACATGCAATATAGAGCAAGTACAACTCTGATGAGACCATGTAACTACATATAAAAATCAAGAATATATATCATCATACTATATAAAAATTGAAGAAAGCTTAGATAGTGTTGTTGTATAACTTTTAAGAGGTGGAAAGATTGATTTGAGGTCCACGTCCTGCGCTTAAAGGAGGTTTAGGAGGTCTTTTAAAGGCTCGTGATATTATGGATGATGTTACTTCACCATTATTCTCAACAACACGGTATTGAATATTTTCAGCCGATGGATCAAGACCTAGACATTTGGAGAAAGCTTTCATGACTTGTTCTATGAAATGGCATGCTGATTCTCTTTCTCTCTGCATCGTATCCATATTTATTTCTCTTCTGCTGCTGCCTCTTGAAGATGGATTCCACTAGTTGTCTGGTTTAGTGTGTGTCTAAATAGCTGTATACTATGTAACAGGACACCTTGCTTTTCGAAGATGTCCCAATAAGAGACACCTGCCACTAAGTGTGCATATGTGTTTGTCTATTGCTGTTTAGCCGTCTATGATTTTCTGGAAGGCAACATAAGTTTATCTTTTACATTATCAACCTTAATATTAATGTAAATTATGTCATTTTAGATATTTATAATTAAATTTTAAAAAAATTGAAATTTTTTAAAATTTTGAGGTCTAAAGCCCGGTCCGTCCGACAAATATTAGATTGAGAATAGTAACTATAGATCCAAAAAATTATTCAAATAAACATTAAATAGTTGATGAAGATGAATCAAATAGACACCGGCTTCTTAGAGATGAGGCTGAATGAAGAACAGCGTTTTCTTCAAAATGTGGGTTTATTTAAAAATTTGAGTTCTTCATTCGATAAAAAAAATCTTTTATTTTAATTTTAAAAGTTGATGATGAAGATGATATGAATTTTTTGGAAGATTCTTTTAAAAATGATAACATGGTTAACATTTAACATGCAAAGAATTTTTGAATAAAAACATGATAAAGGCCTAAACGGTTATCTAGAATTGAACTATGGGACTGCAAAGCAATTTTGCCTAACTAATGCATATCACTATTTAAATTTGATTGCACCAGCTAGGGCTGACAATGAACCCAACCAACTCGAAGATAATTCGGAATTCGACTCGACAATTAAATCGTTGAACTAGGTTCATGAACCAAATGAGTTGAGTATGAGCGAAAAATTAAGTTCGTTAACTAAATGAGCTGAACTTGAACTATACATAGTTCGACTCGTTAGGTTCATGAGTCAACTCGATTACATATGAAAAGAATTATACTGTCTTTAAGATTAGGTTTAAATATTTACTTCAAATCTTAGACAAATTTAATCTTCAATTTAGTAGTTTTTGAATTAGACTCTCAAATGTATCTCTTGAAAGTTGTGTAGGTTTTGAATTAGTAGATTTCGAAGATAAAGTTAAATTTCAATATGATAACTTTTATTTTATTTTAATATTTTATTTTATATATATATATATATATATATATATATATATATATATATATATATATATATATATATATATATATATATATATATATATATATATATATATATATATATATATATATATATATATATATATATATATATATATATATATATATATATATATATTTAAAATGTCAAATATACTAAAATATATATATATATTTAAAAAAATAGTTTTTAAGTTCGTGAACCATGTGAGCTGAACCTAATGAGATGAACCTAACGAGTCGAATCGAACTGTTCGTGAACTTATAACGAGTCGAATTTGAGCTTAAAAAAAAGTTCGTGTCAAACTCGAACTCGAACTCGAATTCGAACAATTCTTAACGAGTCGAGCCGAGCTGAGGTGAGTTCGACTCGACTCGACTCATTTCCAGCCCTAGCACCAGCATTTCTTAATTGTATATCATTTCCTATAAATATAGTTCATCATTAAGTTAAAAATAAATAATAATAAAAAATACACAACTTATGACAAAAGCCTATATTACAAAGTTGAATTTTAACACAGATTTGAATTTTTAATTTTTATGGAGTGTGAGTTTTTAATAATTATTATTACGTATACATATAAAATAAAAAACAAAGACTTGGGTAAAAAAATTAAATTGATATTATAGTATCGATATATGTAATTGGTATGCACTATTAGTATAAAAAGTCAAACACAAAAATTTATTAATTATGATTAATTATTATGATTAATTGAAAGTAGAAAATATCTTTATATTGTTGCTATATCACTTGCTAAGGCAACATTTTTTTATGTTTCTATATTATTTTCTAGTATTTTGAGTCTAGAATTATAACTTAGGACGTTATCATTGGCATTGGATACAACCAGCATGGCAAAATACAAAAGACTAGTACATATGCAACATATAGTCTTAGTGCCAAAGCATAAATATATAATGAAAAATATAAACCAAAAGATAGTGAATCTCCGAGCAGTCTTCAAAAAGCTTCTCCTTCCCATTTTCCATCACCTACTTATCTTAAAAGAATATGGACAAGATAGGATGAGATAATGATTACAGTGAGATTCTATCTAAAACTAAAATTTTCTCTAAGGTCAATTAAATTGAACACTAATTCACCCATCACTCAACGATATGCACCCCAAGGGTATCCCGAAGATGTTTCACATCTTTAAATTCTTTGGATTAAGTCACACTACCCATGCACTATATAAATTTCATGCTAATTACACATCAAAATACACATCAAAATAAACTCATAAGACATGACCACAACAATCCCCCTTAGCCGAGCTTCTTGATTGGATCATGTACACCCCAATATACATCCGAGATCATGTATTAAAACATGACCACTTTTTATATGCATTACAACTAACCTCTATCACCCTTTTACAAAGGTGTAGACAGAGTTGTTACCAAAATTTTGAGTGTCATGTCAAAATTATAAATTTGGTGTCTTTTTTCTTAGTTCATAATTTTTTATACCAAATTTATAAGTCATATAATTATAAATATATAATTGTAAAAAAAATAAAAAAATAACATTAATATTAAAAAGTTTATACCAAATTAAAATTATAATAAAATTATGACAAAAGTAGTTATAATGCATATATCAATCAAAATACGTATCAGTAGCATTTTGATTTTCACACTAGTTGCAACCTCTGTCTATTAATCTTTGAATATCATCCTCTTGACATTTTTTGCTGCAAAATCACCAATAATTTGATCAAAATCAAGATTCTTTAAAAAATCATCTTCAATTGAAATCAAAGTCAGACTATTTAATCTAACATGCGACATTGTCGATCGCAAATAAGATTTTAGCAATTTTAATTTTGAAAAACTCCTCTCAAACGATACAACAATAATATGAATAGTTAATACTATTCTATAAGTTATGCACATATTAGAAAAACAATTGAATGTCTTAAGAGAACTCAATATTATAAAAATAAATTTTGATTCAACTGTTAAAATTTCTCTGATGACTTTTCATTCTTCATATAAAATTTGACCATTAAGATCCTAAGAATTACCATGTTTCAAATAAGTTTCAAGATTTATGCAAGACGATTTCAAGTTCTCATCGGAAAATAACTTAAGTCTTTCAATATTAAACAAAAATTCAAAAATATTCTCATGAGTTATATTGCTCAAATCTTCTATTAAGTGAACCAATGCCTTGATCTACAATGTATAAAAAATAATGAATCCTAAAAGACTCCTCAGTAAACTCAATGTTTGATTGTGTGCATTCAGATGGATTTTCATCATAGCGTTTCTTTCTGTAAATTTTATATTTTTGAATAAACACACATTCAATGTCTATTTCATTTGAAGTTATTTCAGCAATAGCAATAGCCTTTGCAAAACCAGATTCTCTATACTTTTTCAAGTGAGTAATCAAACATTTTACTAACTGTATAGCTACATCAATTCACATGTTTTTTTTTTTGTAAACTTTTGTTAATTTCATTAACAACAAATAACAACTCAAACCAGATAGTCATAGATAGTCATAGCTAGTAAAAACTCAAAGTTCTCAATTCTATGATGTGCTAAAGATTCAACTTCGCTCTTAATCTTTGGATCATTATCTTGTTTAACTAGTTGAAGTAAAGTTTCTCTTATGTTTGAAGCTTGGGTTTTAATTGCATTTAACTGTTGTGAATCAGATACCTTTAAACAAAGTATAAGCGGTTTCTTATCAAGAAACACACAAGGTTTAAGGTTAATAAAGAAGAAAACAACAAGGATTAGTTATTAAACTGCTATTCTTTCC